AAAATTATTTCAAGTAAGAATATCATAAGAGGTGAACTGAAAAACTATTTCAACATACTGCAGATGAAGCGTAACATCATATTAATTAATATACTTATATTTACTAACTAGAATTTAGCAATATTATATTGAAATCAATTTTTTTTACAAAAGTTTCAGTGAGAACCATTATGAGAACCATTTAGAAATATAACCACTTTATTATTGATTTTAATTAACAGTGACTTCATATACTTAAAAGTTTTTTTATTTAAACATACCAGAACAAAGACTAAACAGCTGAAAAATCATGAAGATTATAACGGAGCATTGGAAACACTCAAACTCATGATCTCAAAACTGATAGTCAGTTATACCTGTAATACTAGATAAGGAATTAATAACTAAATTATAAGGTGAATGTAATTTCCCCCCCCCCCCAAGCACTCATACTTAAAAATGTGACACAAGACCCTTTGCAAATATTTACAAAATCACTGATAATTATTGCATAACAACAGTAATTTTTTTTCTTCCTCATGTCGATGAGACGGATCATTTTTAAGATAGGGGCTTATATTGCCCATATTTCATGGAATCTAAATCCCATGAAACTACTATCCACTCACGAACTTGTGAGTTAATCTAGTCCCATGTATGCTGGGAACAGTGATCTTACAACTTGGCCATACATTTGCTGTTTGATCCCACTCTGAAAGACTATCAGATTTAGCTTTTTCCCCATTATTATTACTTTCAAATTTGAAATTCAAGATCTCGTACTGTTAAAACTTTCTTATTTGATATGACAATATAGATTCTAACAAGATAAAAAAGAATGAAAATTTCAATTTACATACAGCAATCCTGAGACAAAATATCAAAATGCATTTATAAAAATGCCATATGAAATTTGTGCCTTGCAGTTTGAGAAAACAGGCTAGAAACACTGATGTGGACTTAACGTGCCTACTTTCTGTGCAATGCAAAAGCATTGCTTCTACGTTCATCACCTTACACTGTTACCACAGAGCTCAGAAAGCACACAAATGTTCAGGAAATACTGCAACAGTGCTATTTGTTAGCCTAGGCTAAATAAGTACATTTGGTCAGTCACTCTTATAAAATATGCTGCTGCACTTTCTCCGTGGTTAAACCGAAACACAGCATTATAAAAACACCTTACAGGAATTTACAACTGTTTGCAGCAGAAAGCTACCCTGAAACTTGTTAGTCACGTTTCAGAATATGAGTGCTATAAACCAAGCAATTCAAGCAGGCATTGTAGAGGAAAGTCCTTTAACCAAAAGGTAAGATTTGCTTTAATCTAAAAATCAGTTATGCAGTTTTCCAAAGGCTATGGACTATCTGCTGGCTTAACCCCAACACTGACTCAGTAGTTCTGAAAACGTGGCTACAAAAAGGTTTTTGGAAATACAAAGTTATAAAAAACCTCTTCAATTTATTGGCTTTTCTAAAAGCCTAAAAACCTAAACATCCCGAATCTACTTAAAACTCCAAAGTAATCTAAACGGTGTTCCCGAATTCAGCTTCCCAAGTCAAAACGTCAAACAGTTCCACAGCCTTTCCTTGTGCTGCCGCAGAATGGAGGGCTGAAGAAGCAAAAGGAGGAAAAATGAAAAGCTTTACACTGGCGATGTTCATTCTTCAGCCGGAGGCATTGTTATCAGCACTTGAAAATTATACCTCCGTACTTTCCGCTAGGGGACAAACGGTCAGCATATCACACAAGCAGAGGAAATCCTCTGTCTTGATCTCGTGTGCAATCAGGTGATAGGAGAACCAGGGAGGGCAGGGGAGAGGGGAGGGAGTAGGATGGGGAAGTGCAGCAGAGGGCAAACTGATTGTGAATTTCTCTAGCACCTAATTAATTTCATGGTCCACTTCAAATACTCTCTACTGGGCCAATTTTTCTCATGTGCCACATTTAGCCTTTAGGGCTGCTGATTGCTAACTTCTGGTTTATATTTGTTTCAGCATATTAAAAACATCCAAAACATTCACTGCCTTGGGAAATTGATATTTTACCATGTCTTGAAGACATGCAACCTGAAGGTCAAATGTTTTACATTCTGGCAAAGAACATTTGCAAGACGCTTGTCATTTCAGCTGTTTTGTGCCTTACTAAAGAAGTTACTGAACACAGCCTATCAGCAGTAAAGTAATATTTTAGTTTAATAAATATTTACCTAATTTTTCAAAACATTTTAAAAGCTTTTATTATACTCTCTCAAATTTCAGCAAGACTGACTTCTGCCATGTTACCAACAGAATGATAGCAGGATTAAATTAAGTCCCTCAGAGGACAGTTGCTGACGAAAGAGGAAATAGATCACCCAGAACAAGCTGTGGAAACTAAGAATTATTAACACACTCTGTATGAATGAAAGGAAGATGTGTACAGAAGAATACCTGGTTGACTTCAAATGAAATTTATCTGTGCTCATTGCCATCTAATTTAGTTATGCAATTTGCTGACCCTCATTGGAAAGCTCTCTGACAAAAATATCCTTTGTGATTCTGCATCTAAGAAAGTCATCTGACTTGCTACCTATAGTGCCTTCATATCCCAGGCTATTACTCTGGTAGCATAGGAAGATGCTCAAAAAGGGTCCAGCAATCCCAGGTTCACTGAATTCTAAGGAAGAACACCTCTAGATTAATCTGGAAAAAAAACAGAACTGAAATTTTCTGTTTCTGTGTTTAGAAAGACCTGGAGGAGGAGAGGATATACAATTTGCATAACCTAATAAGCATTTACATTTCTGCATCTTTATCTCAGTAGGAGTTCCACATTTGCCTGTTTCTGACAAATCATTTAATTTTAATGGTAAGCTTCATGAAATTTTATGGGAAGATTAAATAGGCAGCAACATTTAAATTATTAAACACTCTTCATTAGAGTTTATGATCATAACATTAAGAGATGTTAGGAAGGAAACTTAAATAACCTTAAGACAGTCAAGTTTCTACTGCAATTCAAGAGTTTTATGTCTAATTTCTACGAACTAGTTCAGTTTAGAATCATCACAAGAGCCTATCTTTACAAGCTACAAATATTTGAAAACTTTATTAGTGTACTTCTGAAGAGGAAACAAAATAGATTTCCATATCTAGCCATTTCAGAAGCTGAGAGTTGCAGTATCTTTTCTTGCAAGTCTCAGTGTTTATCCTGAGATATTAAGTATTTTGTCAGCTAATGTAGTCGGTCAGGGAAACATCATGAAAACTACCCACTTAGTATGGTTTCCTGATCACTGCAACCTCCCATCAGTGAGATCAACAATGTTATTTTAGAGAATAACTACGCTTTCCTAAGAAATCCAAGCTATTGTTTCAGTTATTTCAGAGATGAACACAAGATAACAGTGGATCCAGCACAGATACTCTGCAGAATTTACATGTGTACTGGATTCATGTATACTGTGAACAGAAAAAATAGAACTTGTACCTTTGCTGTGTACTGATATCTGCAATTACATCATCCTGTGAGGAAGACACATGCCCTGTTGATGTGAGACTGAAACTGGATAGAGGAACTGCAGTTTTTAGATTAGGAAAGTTGCCATTGCTGATCATGTTGGTGGCCTATTCATTTTATGGAAATGGGGGAAGTAGCTGGAAACAAAAATTAAAGCACTGCAAGTAATTCTGGGTGAAGTAAAACCAACTTATTCTTTCTTTAGAAGAATATAAGATCCTTACTTACAAGTACCTCAAGTATTCAAAAGCTGGCTGCCTTAATTTAAGCCATGAGGCTGTGATTACCCATTTGCAATAAATGATCTGAGATTCCCATTCACTTCTGTGGAAGTTATGAGCAGTGTGCATCTCTAAGGACAAAGCAATCTTTGAATTTAAATACTCAAACTTGAATTCCAAGAAGTGAAATTTAAGAATTTCAACAACAAAAAAATGTCCCCAATTCCTCTATTAATGACATTGAAATAGTTTGTAAAAATTACTTGCTCATATGAAAGAGCAGAAAAGGAACACAACATATGCGGTCAATAAGTAATTTTCTCACCTATAAAAATATTGGGAAAGAGAATTATCACACAGCAGTTCAGCGCATGTAATTAAGTTCCTGAAATGTCTTCTAGTAAAGTCAGTGTATAGCTAAAATATTCTGCCAGTACTATTTAGTTGTTTAGAAAAATAAAAGAGAGAGTCCTATTGGCCTTAGATTTTTCTTAGAAGTTCATTTAACTTGATCCTAATTTTAGGTCACATAGAACAACCCAGACTTTTGCACTGCAAATGTTGTGAGTAATGTTATATCAAAATTAAGATACATAACTACGACAGGGCTGTGTTAGTATAGGGACTGCCAGGTTATTTAAATTCCTGAATATTGGTCGAGGACAAAAGGACTGCTTGGAGTAAGATCATTGTCCTGCCCAAGGCCTAGCTACATGCTCACAGCACAGCAAAGGTATTATCTTCCCCTTTGAAGTATGTTGGGAGGTCCTTGAAGTACATGTATTGTCTCTCTCTGAAGATTTGGGGGTCTGGGTTATAGTACCAGAAATACTGTCCAGCACGCTTTAAAGAGGAGACATCTTAATCATACTGTTCTCTAAAACAGGAGGTCAAGAAACTCTGGTACACAACGGTTTCTTTTTGTAAATAACTATTAGTAAGGTATGAAACCTTGCTCCTGCCTAAGAATTCAAGACAAAATTCCAATAAGCTTTTACACTCAAGTAATATAAAGAGAAATATGAGGTTATAGCATTATTTGTAACTGAATGTACATACAACAAATAGAAAAATCAGACAGAATTTCTGTAGAAACTTACAACTCTGCAGAGATTTTCTCTTCATTTTCTCCAGTCACTAACACCATGACGACTGAAAATTATTTATGCTTTCACATTTAAACGTTAACTTAATATGTAACTTTATGAAATCATGAGAAATTAGTAAATACTTGGTACTCTAGTGAGTATAGCATTAAGACAAGTTGACTGCAGTAAATATACTTTCTGTTAAAATACCTGAGGAGGTGGGGTCTTCAGAGAAGTCTGGCAGCTCTTCAGGGGGGTCACCATAGAAGGAGTTGAATTTGTGGCTTGACACAGCTGCTAGTACTGCCCCCTGAATAAAAATACCCACAAAGTCTAAATTACACAAAGAAGGATAACGAAACATTTCCAGACACCTTGGATCACTCAGTCTCCTGAGGTCTGTCTTCTGTTGACCTTCTCACTGAAGAGTAAATAATTTTATAGTCTTCAGCTCTGCTTCACTGTTACCAGTCACCATATCTAACACAAGAGCTGGTCATACTCTACTCTAATAAACAGTAAATAATAAACAGTGAGGGGATTAATGAGAACAATTCTTTACGGGAAAGCATTTAAAAATAGTTAAGTGTGAGGCATAAATTCCCATAGTACAATGTAAACAAAATAACTAATTTATTTTCTCTTTCCC